TGTGACTTTGTCGGGACCCCGAACCGTGGCACTAGACCCCTGTGGCACCAACCTGATTTCGGGGCTGAGGGTCTTCGGACCTTTGGGGTTCTGTGTTTGTGTGGCTTCGGAGCTTCCGGCTTGCGTGTCTTTGTCGAGACCCCGAACCCGGCGCTAGACCCAAAACCCTGGCTGTGGTGTGGTTATCTGTCTTTGTCGGGACCCCGAACCCGGGCACTAGACCCCAAACTCTGGCTGTGGCACCTTGTGCCCTCGCATCCTGTCATCCACCACATCGGTGTACACGACTGCCATCGCGAACCTGATTTCCGAGGTGCTGCCTCAGCTTGAAAACTGCTGGCATCAGCGATGCCCCATCGAAGAACAGGTCACCGTCAGCCGGATGCCTGACACGACTTTGGAGGGTTGCATCCCTGTCTCAGGTGCCTTGTGCCCGCGACGTTGGTGCTTGTAGGGCTTTTTGGAGGTACGGGCGCTTGGACTCGACCCCAGACTCTAGCGTCGGCGTCGGCCTCCGCGACCTGGCCACGATTCGCAGACTTTTTTTCGGCAATTTCGATCATTTGGCTGCCCTATTTCTGCTGACGCTCCTTGGACAGCGACCAGCAGCCAAACAGTCGCGCACACAGCCAGGCTCAGAAGTGCTATCTGGGTGTACACGTCGGCACTGCTGCGAGGAGGCTGCGGCACGGTGAAGGTCAAATAGGAACGCTGGACATGCAAGGTCTGGCCGCCTAGTCCACCGGCCAGGCCACGAGAACTTGATGCTGCTTTGCACACTGACACGAGAGTTGAGCCTTGACTAGGCCAGCATTTCATTGCAACGGTCGCAGTGTCGAGCTGGATCTTATGATCATATTGCGGCAAGGCCTTCCGAACGCCAGCGGATTGCCCCGAGACGGCGGCCTCCTGCCGATGAACCAGCATCTGTAAAAAAGGCTTCAAAAGGACACCTGAGTGCACCGGTTCAGGATTGCTTCTTGTGCCTGCTCCCCATCATCTTCCTGCATGTCTCGGGAATGCTCCGCTCCCGCCTCTGTCTGGGCCGTGGCCGTCGTAGCAACCTGGACAAAGACCATGCGGCCCACGATGGAACCGCCAAACCAGGCTCTCAGGGTTTGAAATTGGCGGTTATGCGAGTCGGCAAATCGGCCACGGCCGTCGTAAACAAACAGGATTACATCAAGCCCATGCGGCACCACAGCCACCACCCTCTCTACTTCCTTCAGATGCGCTTCTCTGTCGTGAATGTCAGCGGAAGAAATGCCAGGGCTATCTATAAGTCGAATGCTCCTGTTTTGATGGACCGTAGTGGCCACCTGACAGCGCATGGTGACTCCATCTGGATGGTCACCAACTGCGAAAGCGGCTTCACCTACGAGCTCAGCCAGCCAGTTGCAGAGACTGCTTTTGCCAGCACCTGATTGGCCCAACAAAGCCACTGAAATCTCGGGCTGCATCACGGCCAGTCTTCGATAGGCTAAGGTACAAGAAACCAAGCTTGCTTGACATCTGTAGACAGCAAACTCCCAAAAAACTCAGTTGGTTCGGGCAGACTCTCTCGTGGCAACGTGTTCCCCCTTACGGCCTTCCAGACTTTGCTAGCTGAGCTGTTGCGAACTTGCCCGCTTTTTTATACTGAGCAATGAAAGCGAAGATGATAGAGCCTTCGGAAGTGCCACGGAGCCAGCCTCCTGGCACTTAGCCCGTGGCCAAGATGCTTAGCGACGAAAGTTTTACTGTTTTGCCTGGTGTATGCCGCTTTGCCCGGCGTATGCGTTGGCCTGCCGCAAAAACCGAGCATGACTTCTGCTGCCTGCGGCAGACTATATTTTGAATGTCGTAGAGGTCGTACCGTCGCCGCGAGTGAATTGGTAGGAGACTCGGCCCCCAAAGAAAAACGTTCTGAAAATCTGAACTATTCTGAAACTGAGGAGTCGGCAATCGCACCGACCACCACCATACGTGCGATGCCAAACAGTCCAGGCCATGTTGGCTGCAGAAAAAGACGTAGTAAATTTTTTGCGGGCTGATTGGGATCTGGATGCTCTGTGTTGCGGAATCTGTCCAACAATCCCCGGGGCGACAACCAATCAAAGCAAAATGCATGCAACAGTCAAAGAGTCACATCTGATGCACACCACGCTTCTTCTAGCTGTCGCAAAGACTCGGGTCGCAACGCATTCTGGATGTACCAAGACGTCTCAACATGCCCCCCCCCGACCCCGTGAACTTCTTAACCAGGCGCTGCAATTGTAGAAAAACCGTTCTGCAATTATGCGCCCCCGCCCCCATCCTACGACTAATAAGGGGGATTGTACATATACATGTGCACATACCAAAAAGATTACAGATCGTGCAATACATGTTCCGGATTATTATAGTCCACATTACATGAGATATCTTATGTGTTACATCTGACAAATTGCATGCTAGAATATATATGTATATATATGTGTATATATATATATAGATGTATAATACGAGTATAGTAAAATACAACGGAATAAAATCTATGATGATTCTGATGATATTCTGATGATAAAAACCATAGGACATAACAGAAAACAATACAACTCTACAGTAAATAGTAGTATAGTACCATATAGTAGAATGTAATACAATGTGCCTTAGCTTAATACAATGTAATATAGTGCAAACTAGCATAGTATAATGTAAGATCATGTGACATAGTGTCGTATGAGGTAACATAATGTATTTCAACTGTAACATAACCTATCGTTCATACTACATATTACTTACTACATATTGCATATTGCAGATTTCAGGCTACAGGTTACATAGTACACGTTAGCTATAGTGTCTTTCGTTTATGTTTTTATTATGCATGAACTTTGCAGCATGATATGTGCATCTGTCTATGTTCATGCGTGTACGTATACTTTATATATATATATGTAGGGAGAGAGATATGTATATGCGTATATATATATATATCTTGCTTGCTTGCTTGCTAGGGGTATGGGGCCGAAACCCCTGGCCCGAAGGCCTACCCCACAACGGTTCGCGTCCAGCGTCTTTGGCTTCCCCTTTTTGGGGTTTTGCAGCAGTGTTCCCACCAGGTGGTTACAGTAAACCCCAACGCAAGCACACCCCTCCTAAGGCCATGACCAATATACACCCCTCGCTGTATTCCACCTGGGTCCTCCACTCTGCTTCTACGTTTCACCTGTGGAGCTCCACTCCATAGGTTTCACACTGGTGCCAGTGAGGGGACGACAGTGCCACCAGACAGCATGATACGACCTACGGAAACAGGGACAAGCAAATGACACTCTAATCACTTCACTGGCCCCCTCGCACACTGACTCTACCGGATTAAACCAACCTACCTGCCTCCCCACCTTATCCCGAACAGAACCTCGCAGCAGCACTACCTTCACCTTCCCACCCCCAGTAGCCTCTACTCTGTCCGGAAGTTCGCTGTATATTCCGTGTTGTTGACTCAGTCGGCAGGAGGCCACACAACAGCCACAAGACGACGAAACATGGGCTACAACCACACCTCCCCCCCCGGTACAGTAGAACAGAAATCATTGAGTGCGGCCCCCCCCTCGCCATGGGTGTTTTGGAGCTCTGCTCCGTTTGCCCTTTTCTGCGAACTTCTAATCCCAGCTACGGTTACTTGCTCCCCCGGACAACAACGGGGTAAGCTCAGTAATGATAACAGCATGCCGTAAGCAAGGTCATAAACCGAGGAGAGCCCCCTTTAGTCGTCGTTGCCCAGTGAGCTTGGCGACGTGAATGCACGTCGCCTTCTGGGCCCTATTGTTTGACCCCCCTCAGTGTGCCCTTCAGGTGATGGTGCCGAGAATCTTGTAAAGGGCGCTGTGGAACTGGCCGCCCCGCTGTCCCCATCTGGCATTGTGGCTTCCATCGCGTCCCCCCGGTTCTGGATCTTCTCCTCGCCCTGGTTCTGTTGGCCGGTGGGCGCTTCCTCATCGCTGCTGAGGAGCTGTACTTCTTCTCCCCAGTGCGATTGTATCCACGCTCCCAATTGATCGAGCGCTTGTTCCCCCAGGACTCTCATCTCCCCTTCCAGGAATGGATGCAGTTGCCGTAGTGCTCGTTGTGCTCTGTATACATGGAGTGCGTCAGGTGGATCGCGCTGTGGATGTTGCATCGGTTGTCCCCTGTCCTGCGCGATGGTATCTGCCGGGTGGATATACTCATTCTCCCCCCGGTGTGGGTAATTAGATCCCCACCAGCACCCCCACGCCCGTCTCCGCTTCGTCCAGGAGGTTTCGCAGCCTGGGGAGGATGTCCCCCACCTGCGGTGTCATTTCTCCCAGCTCCTGTGAGGAGGGCTAGGGCCTCCTCCGCTGCATCTGTAGCCCAATGCGTAACTTGCCAGTTGTAAGCCATGCCTGCTTGTACCAGTTCCAGCAGTTCAAGCAGCTCCGCCATTGACGGTTGTTCCCCATGTTGGTTGCTCTCCTCCATGACCCCCACTGTGAGCGCGGCAATCTCGAAGGCGTTTGGTGTAGGCAGCGGTGTCCCCGTTCGGTTCGTCCCCCTGACTCTGATCGTGTGGAGTTGCGATAGCCTTGTTGCTGCTGCGGCTAGGTAGTCGACCACTCCCCGCATGCCAACATCATTTGCCAGCCCCATCGCTTCTGTAATCAGCTCCATTGCTTCCGCTGCGTAGTTGTCCCTTTGTTGGCGCCCCCTCTGCTCTGTTCATCCCCTTCTCGCATGGAAGCAGAAGTCGTAGTCGTTGAGGTCGCGGTGCATGCCGTTTCCCGGGTGTTGGGTATGGTCGTACTGCTGGGTCTTCCCATAACTAAGGACTGCATCAGGGCCGTGGGCTCGAAGTCCTCGGGATGGTCTGGTTGGCTGTCCCCGTCCCCCTGGAGCATGGCGTGCCTTCCCCTGTTGCCGTCCCTCGCGTTCCCTTCGTGGTGTTGATAGCTCCCCGCAAGTCCAGGGTGCTCGTCCCCTCCGCCTCGCACGCGTTCTTCGGCTGGCAGGTTCATCCCGTCTATGTATTCTGCCAGTCGTTCTCCTCGTAGTAGTAGCCAAATCGCATCCGCTTCATATTGCCCGTTGGTACGGTAGCTTTCAGGGAACTCGTTCTCGAGGACGGACAGTAACTGGATGGCGCATTGGTGTCCTTCTTCGGTGTCCCCCGCCGGATCGGGCCCCGGACGGTGGAGGCGACAGATCAACTGGGCACACATGCGTACGCATGCGTGGCGACACTGGAGCGGCATGTTGTTGAGTTCCCCCCTGATCTGCTGCAGAAGGCCCGACCACGTTTGGGGCCGTTGTACGTGATGTTCTCCTCGGCCTCCCCCCAACTGCTGCATAAGTCCCATCTCGTCTCCACACCCTTCAAAGAGCTCCTGCGAACTTGACGATGGCCAACTTTGCGAGGGGAGTTCTCCCGGAATATCCCCCAACAAATCGTTATGCGCGGGCACGACGATCTGGAGCTGTTGGGCAAGTCTGAGGAGGTCGTCTTGCAACGTTGCAGGGTCCATGGTGCACTCGTCTTGCTCGGCGTTGTAGTTGAGGACGATTTGGTCCAAGATGTCAACGGCTTCCATGAGGGCGTCTCTCCCCTCTGCGATCCCCGCGCTGTCCCGGAGTCTAATAGAAGCTCCGAAGTCCGCCACGACATCTTCCAGCAGCTCCCCCACTTCCGCCAGCTCCGTGCGCGCTGATGTAGCGTGGAGTGTACCCCGCAAGATGTGCCTGACCACCTCCACCAGAGTGGCTGCCATCTGGGCCGGGTTGATGCGTCTCGCTCCCCCCTGCCTGCTGTCATAGCTGCCGTACGCGACGTATCCGCCCCCGTTCTCCACCTTGGTAGCACTCCTCCCGCGAACGTTGCTCCTCTGAAAGATGGCGCGGATCACGGGGTGGCGGTGGATATGTGTGGGAGGTTCTCCCCGTTGAAGAGGAAGAGGCTTGGCTAGGCTGTCCCCCGGTGGGGCCTGGCCCCCCTGTCTGGGCTTCTGCTCCGTGACCCCCGAGGGCTTTCTGATCTTGGAGCTGTAGGCATGCTAAGCTGTACCATGGCCATGTCCTCCTCCTCCGGCGGGGCTTCATCTTCGCTCGGCCATTCATCTTCCGAGCTGCTGGGCGGCTTCGGCGGTGGTGCTTTGGGGTGTGCCGGTTGGCTGTCCCGTTGCTGCTCCCCTTGCTGTGGGGAGTTCTCCCCCTTCGTGACGGTGAAGGCTGAGCGAGCTTCTTGTGAGTAAAAGGAGATCGCTGCCCCCCCTCCGGTGGTGGGTGTGTCATGTGCCTGCTGCTGGGTTCTTCCTCCCCCTACTGGGGTCTGCTGCTGCTGTTGCTGTTGTTCTTGGGGAGACCGTGTGTGGGCCTGCTGCCCGTTTTCTGCTGCTGGTGTTCCGGGGTGGCTTGACGCAGGGACTTGGGACGCGGAGGGGGCGTAGTAGATGCGGTCAGGTGGTGGTGGCATGGCTGGGATTTCCCCCGCCGCGATCTGTCTAAGCTCCTCCCTCCGTCCCCCTCTGGGTTGGTAAGGGTCTTCCAGTGGAAATTGCGTCTTCGCCCTGGCCATGCGCACATCCGCGTATCTTTCGGGGGAGACAGACAGGTAGTCGAGCTCATGGTCTTGAGCCAATGCGCTCATGTCTGGTACTGGAGGTCCTCGAACCATAGCGCTAGCACGGTATGCGTCCCCTTCTTCTTCTGTCAGGTCCCCCAACACCCACGACGTTGTTTTGGGTCTCCACGTGAGCAGGTATTTACGCGCGTGCAGCGGAGCACTGGCTGGATCTCTGGAGTTGGGCGAGGGTAGGTTTCGGATTCGCAGCACCCATTGTTCTGGTTCCAGGTTGCGATGGACGAGGCCAACGGGGATAAGCTCGAAGGCCGTCCCCTGAGGGATAAACCCCTCTTTCTGCCCCCTCCTCGAGGTTTGCCTGACTCTCGCGAATCCCCTGTCGGGAACTCGCCCGTACGGCGGGGTTAGTTCGCTCCCCCTCGCGACCACTTCGCCTACCCAGATTCCATGTGCCAGGTATCGCAGGTGTAGGTGCGTACTCCCCGACAGTGGGAGTTCCGGCGGCCAAGTCAGGGGGGGGGAGTACCCCCCCCAGCTGTATGTGAAGTGGTTGAAGACGCCGTCTCTGTCGTGGAGTTGCTGTAGGTCCTCCCCCCGCCACCATGCGACTCCTCCTCTGGTTGTGACTGGCCTGGCTGCTTGTGCTTGTCGTTCTCCCGCTGCTGAGTCTGCTTGGTGGCCGCCATGTCCTCCCCCTTGTTGTGCTCTGGCTGTGTCCCGCCTCTGCGGCGGGGCCTGTGCGGGCGGCTCCCGGCTGAGGTCCCCTCTTTGGCGGGCTTCGTACCTTTCCCGGTGTTCCGCTGCTGCTTTCTCCCCCGCCTTTTCTTCAGCTGCTGCGTCTCCTCGTGGCTGTGGTGCTTGGTGGGCAGCGGGTTGTTCGTGCCGTAGGTCCCCTCGTTCTCGAGCTTCGTAGCGGTCGCGGTGGTGGGCTGCTTCCTTGTCCCCTCCTGTTATATATATATATCTTCGACACAGTCAGAAGGAAGGCACGTAAGCACCCTCCCCCGCGCGCGAGCGCGCCCTGGTCCCCGAAGTCTCTGTGTTATATATCTCTCTCTCTCTCTCCCTCTCCCTCTCTCTCTCTCTCTCTCTCTCTCTCTCTCTCTCTCTCTCTCTGTGTACTGCAGCAAGAGCTCTTCCAGTATGTCCAAAGCCTGCTTCAGGTGGTGCTGGTCAACGAGGCCCTTGATGAGCACGGAATATGCAATGATGTCTGGGACAACACCTGGGCTCAAGGCTCCAACATATCTATATTGCAAGCCGACAAGCCTGCTTCGAGTGCATGTCAGTGAAGCGAAAACGATGTCAACTAAGTGCCATGGAAACACACGTTAGTTGCGATGGCGTGGGGAGGCTCGTGACATTTGTCGATGCTCCAAGCTGCCAGCTCTCCATCTGAAGTAATGAAACAAACGGAACTCCTTCAACGTCAATGCTAAGAATCTCGGCGTTGCAAAGAACTGTCCTTCGAAGGCCAAAAGTCTTAAGATTCCCTTAGCCGCCTTAACCCATGCCATATATCTCTCAAGCCGCTTGCTTGCTTCATGGACTCAAAGAGCGCCAAGGCTTTCTGGAGGCCTCCGAAGCAGTGGGTGGTAGTGCATAAAGCTGGCACCTCCCACCCGAAGCCGATGGGCAAGCCAAGAAGAACAGGAGGCATCTTGGAATCATGATGATAGTCATACTCGGAGCCATCATGTGTGACAAAATTGGCTGCACTGCCCAGCACTCGAAGCAGCTCCTCCACCCCGCACGAAGCCCTTGATCAAGAGCGTACCTCGGGTTTGCCGCACTCTTCTGTGCGGGAAACAACAGAAAGCCTGAGGTGCACACGCCCAGGATCAACCCTAAGTTTCAAATCCCTCGTGGCACAGATAAGGCAGCCCAGCCACACATGACTCGATTCAGCTCTTCGTTCTTCTTCCTTGGGCAGCAAAAGTTTGTGCTTCGGCCGATGTTGAAGGAGCAAATGCTTGCTGAGGTCATGGAGACAGACAGTGATGCAGGCGAAAATCCTGCAGTTCAGGATGTGGCATCATACGTCATGACAGGAGCACAAGAAACCCATCGCAGCCGTACCAGCATAGCTGGATGCGAACGAGAGAAGGCATACAGAGATAACCGGAGTCGTGATGCAAACAATACATACAACATCCATGCCCATGATCTAATCGTCGAATTCCGGTGAGGAATGCTGTCAGAACTAGTGAATCACATGAGCTTTCTTTTCAGATTTGCATGAAGCTCAAACTGCAAACCTCTTCATCAACGACAACCACACAAAACCATGTGGTATGATCTTGCTTTACATACGAGCCTCTCTCGGTGCCCGAGTAAGGGATTGGAATCATTGGCATGTCGGCACTGTCTTTCTCAAACAAGTTTGCTCAACCTTTGAGAAATCTGCGAAGGCTGCAACTCCCAGGTGCTGTGCCGGGGTTCCCTGAGGTTCTTGTGAGAAATCTTGTGAAGGGCATGATGAGGTTTTTGTGGGAGAGCTGCGAGAGATCTGTGCAAAGACTGAGCTGTGAGACCCGGGCGGGCGGCTGTGCTGGGTTGCACTTTGGCTTGCGGCTGGTTGGCTGGGCTGGGCCGTGGGGCTTGACGGTGAGATGCAACTTTAAGATCGGTACAAAACCGAGGTTCTTTTTTAACATAGACGGAACCGTGACTGCTGAATCGCCGAGTGTCAGAAACAGCTCGCTGATCTCGCTGGCCACTGTCTGATCGTTCTCCGCCATGCAAGCATCCAGGAGGGCGCCGAGGGTGATGTCGTCCGGCTGCAGATTGTGCCTTGGGAACTATGCTCCGAGTCTTTCTGCATCTACTCTACTCCTGAGCTCAGAGGTTTTGAAGGCTCATCCGGACAGCGAAGGCGGAGCACCAAAAGGGCAAACTCTGAAGCCCGTAAAATCGTGTAAGGGCTTAAAGGCAATTCAGTAGTTCGATCCAACGGGAAGAGATGTACCAGGCTTACTGCGCTTACTTTCTTTCGTAGGCAGGACGGCTCGGACTTTAAGACGCCCATCGCCCCCGAACCGCCCTTGCTCTTCAAAGCAGTGTGGCACCATACGAGCCATAATAGTACGGCCTACTTTCAGCATTTCAGGTTTAAGAATCCCCGGTAATTACCCGACACCTCGCACGACCATGGTCTAACAAAAACGAGAGCTCGCAGCACCGAGCGGCTTCAGGAGGCATCGCATGCACTCGAAGCAGCGAAGTCGGGACCGAGCCGTCCCGAAACCCTTCATCACCGTGTTGTAGGAGACCTTAGGGTTTATAGGGTTTAGGGTTTGGGTTTAGGGTTTAGGGTTTCGGGTTTAGGGTTTAGGGCTCCAGTGCTGAAAGCTCGAAGGAAACGAGCTCAAGACGCGGTGTCAGAGCTTCGCGTGAGTTAAGCCTTGCGGGTGCTGTGATCTTCTTGGAAATATTACAGAATAATACCAACTATCATTATTATTAGAGCGTGATTATTCTTAACTATAACTATTACCATTACCATTACTATTACTATTACGATTACGATTACTATTACTATTACTATTAAATATTACTATTACTATTACGATTACTATTACTATTATTATTATTGTTATTGTTATTATTATTACTATTATTATTATTATTGACCCGCTTGGGGCCCCTGGGGGGGCTCCTCCATTAACGGCCGAGGAGCGATGTCCACCAGAGGCTCCTTTGGCCCAGGCCAGGCTTGGGGAGCAGGGCGCAAGGTGGTCTTTTTGTGTACCCAAGCTGGAGGAATTTAGGGTGTTAGGGTTCAGGGTTTAACGTTTCAGGGTTTAGGGTTTTAGGGTTAGGGTTTAGGGTACCCAAGCTTTAGTAGGCTTCGAGCATGCAACGCTAGAACTGCACAGAAACTATGAAGGAATCGCAGTATCGGCATCTTGGAGCATCTTTGAAGCGAAGTCGATACGTAATCATCAGTGCATTTAGGACAGCTGCGTGCGGTCATGAGCTGCTGTGAGCTGCATATCCCTGAAGCCTGATTCCCAGAATGCATCCTAGACACTGAGTTCTGGCTGGCTGAAGAAATAATTGAACTCCGACGCAGCGACTCTTGACCCTTGCATTTGTATGGTGCCAGAGTCGAAAAACCTCGATAGGAACCCACACCGAAATCCTGCACTCCCTACGAGGGACTCGACATCTCATGCTCTCCTTCATCCGACGCTCCCGTTCGTGGGCTTCCTGCCTGGGCGTGATAGTTCAAACCCTCTGCATTGCCGGGCGCTGTCGGAATGCGAGCAGCTATGGCGGGATGAACAGCTTTCTTGAAGCCCAAGGCGAAAAGCCCAGAACCAGCCATGACCAAGGCTGAGCCACAGAATTTCGAAGGCACGCTCCGAACGGCCGCAGTTGATGCAGGTAAGGAGGAGGAGGTTCAACATCAGAGTGGTGGCCTGCACGGCGGATGATGGCGTTTGCACTGCCAGCCGGAAAAGTCTCATATGGCGCCATGAAAGGCACTGCAGAACTAGCTGCATCAACATGGGAAAGGGGCTTGTAAACGGGCTTGTCATGTATGCTAGTAAACACGGATCATCGGACCCGGCCCCTGCACATCGGCCTTGGTGTCAAGCTGCTGAAAGAGCTTTTCGGCATCCTTGACGTTCCCCAGCGCCACGTAGCATCGGAAATGAAGTACGTAGTCCTTCGCATAAAAGCATTCGTTGTTCATCTCAACCTGACGTTGTGTGCTGCATCTCATAGTGACGAGAATATCTGTGTATCTTGCATAGGCTTCAAGCAGATCGCTGCGACACGGCTTCTGCATGGGCCAAAGGCCAAAGCGGAACGTATGACCCAGCAAGCTGCAGGCCTGAGCCTTGCCCACGCCCGACCACACTGCTTGCAAAGTGCACACAGGTCCTTCGGTGCAATGTTCGCCTGCTTCAGGCAACGGGTCAGGAAAGTCAAGCATGTGGCAGTGTGAAGTGGGTGCTCCTTCGGGAGGGATTCTGAAGGGCACCTCGCTGAACTTCGCCAGCAGCGGCGGGGTGCGGTCGGGCACATTGAGCTCGAGAGCCGCATTGATCAGGCAGGAGAAGGTGACCTCTGCCATGCGATCCGGCGACGATAAATGCGTCGTACACCGTGAAACGGATTTCACACCGCAAGCAGTGAATTGCTGCCCCCATGACCAGCAGTAAGTTCGACAGGCTTAGACCCGATGTGATTGAAATACAACTACCGATGTGTTCGAACCCTCACACTGGGCAGGCCTTGTCTGCGGGAATCAGGTGCCTGAGCAGAGCGTTCGGTGCACAGGAGGCAAAACCTCTGAAAGAGTAACTAAGCGATTTCTATCTCAGTACTACCGACTACATTCTCGTTAGCGCTGTTCTCGTTGCGCAAGCGAAGCACGAGGACAGGTCCTGGTCGAGTCTCGCACCACATCCAGACGACAAAGGGAGCATGTCCACTTGCCGCTGATGTCTGCAGCTGTGCTGCTCAAAGATGCTGTAGGCGGAAAGGCACAGCTCAAAGTAACGGCGACCTGGATCAATCTCAGACCCTCGCAGCTTCAGAACTGCAAAGGGATCTTGAAAGCGTCAAGCACTGAACCGCAAGCCCAAGGAACCCCCAATCATCATCCTCCAAAACGCAACTACAAGCTCCCGAGGTGCAGACTGGAGAGGAGCTTCATAGTGTGCTGCCAGAACCTAAGGCCACTCCTAACACTACCCTGGAGCTGCCTTGCCCAATCGAGCAAGAGAGTTTCGATGGTGATGGTGACAGTGGTAGTGATGACGACGATGATGAGAATGTGGTGGTGCTGGTGCAAGTGCCGGTGGCCTCGGCCGGATTGGCGATGATGACGATGATGATGATGGTCGCAGGACAGACAAAGAGGCTACACACGATGCAGGGTTGTCCGGACCGTTTTTGAGCTCACGGCTCGGGCGATGGGACGAGGCCGCCGCGCCGCATGGTCCGAAGCATTCGCTCGGCCACATCGACCTTCACGAAAGAAAGGACGTGGTGATTACAACTGCGACTTTTGTAATGTCATGAGTACGACTGCTATGAAAACCACTATGCTGTCATGACTATGTCGGCTTCAATCACGGGTATGGTTTACCGGTTTCAGGCTTCAGGGTAAAGGCTGAGAAGTTTGTTTGTTTGCTACCTGCTTTCCACCTGCCTGGATAGTTAGGTCGAATGCCAAGTTTGGCTGAGGCCCATAATCTCCACTCCGACCACAAAGCCTAGTCTACCTGAAGCCACATAATTCCTAGAAGCCAACCAAGCACGGCTTCCTGCATGGATCACGATCTACATACGGCAAAGGATTGGCTACCTGTCCTCACAAAGTCCGCAGCCGAAACAACTTCACCGTTCCTAACCCCAAACCCACTAATGTCAAACAGCGCCCCTTCAGGTTGCACATGCTCAAGAGGTTCCGGGGCTCGCAGTGGCATGGCTAAAGATTAGACATAAAGACCCAAGACCAAAGTCAAAACCCTAAAAATCCTCCGAGCTCCAAGATTCCTTACGGAGCAGTTCGTACGGCCACTGTTCGAACCGGCTGAAGCCAAGCTTGGACGCTGGCAAATGCAAAAAGGGCTACCGCAACTCCAGCTCGGTAACCTACAACTCTAGAAGACTCCAGCACCGTTGCCTCGCAGACTACTTCCGCTCGCAGTGAATTACAGGTGTACTACTTGTCTCAAGTAGACAAACAGTGTCCCTAGCGCGCTTGCACCAACTGTCAGGTGACCATCGCACGCAAAGCCATTTTTGGTTCGAAGCAGCAGCCACTCAGTTTAGGGTTTAGGTTTCAAGCCTTGGGCCTTAGGGTTTAGGTCGGTAGGTGCATCAGAGGGTTTCGGTTTGGGATGGTGTCCGGAGTCCTTGACATGGTTCAGCGGCGTTGCTGAAGGCTTTCGGGTCGGGGGCTTCGCGTGTACAGTTGGACTGTAGGGAAACTGAACTAACTTGACAGGATTCTACAAAAGGTTCTGTACGGCTTCTATTCTACAAGGCCAACAAACACTTCATTGCAGCTTCTCAGCGACATGCCAGAGTTCGAGAATCCCGCGTCAAGTCGTCGTGGAGCCGCTGGCCTTCTTGAGGAGTGACTTGCAGGCTTCCTTTCCTGCCCAGCGCTGTTTCGCCGTATTTGATTTTCAGCCCCTTGTCAGCACCCTCCTTCAGCATCATTCTCGGCGCCGGCCTTCAGCAGCAGCTCCACGAAGTCGGCTGCGGCCTTCGCGTGCGGCGATGTGGAGCGGCTTGTAACCGTCTGTGTGCTTCGAGTCCTTCTTTGCACCCGCCTTCAGCAGCAAGTCTGGCCGCGCTGCTCAGCGCTGGTGTCGACAAGGACACCTTGTCGGCGCCAGCGCTGAGCAGCGCGGCCACGTAGTCCGCCCAGCCATCCGTGGCGACTTGGAGGAGCACCTCCTCGCTTCGGCCGCAGCTCACCGCAAAGGCGGCAAAGGTGACCGGATCATGGGAAAGAGCATCTGGCACACCGAGCTCTACCTGGTGGACCCGGACCGGATCCACGAAGTAGAGCTCGGTGTGCCAGATGAACTTTCCCAAGATGAAGACCGCAAGGATCTTGCAACCGGAGATGACGAGGTTCACAAGCAGCATCCCCGAGTATTGCTGGAATACCACCATGGCAATGACTGCCAGTATTGCCGCGCCACACTTGTGGACTGCCGTGGGC